ACTGGGCGGGGGGGCAGAGGACACTGCAGTGCACGGAGGATGGAGCACGACGGGAGGAGCGCGACGGGCAGCAGCTGAGGGAAGATCCAGTACGACAGTGATCGAGAGCTGGATCGAGGAAAGTGCACGCTCTCAGCCATCGACAACGGACAAACTGCTATCATCATCGACCTCTCGGTGACCGGCTTGGTCAACAACGCCGTTCAAGTAAGAATTGCCACAGAAAGGAAGTCTGCTCAATCCTTGCCAACATGCAATCATTCAGCTCCCGCCCCTCACATATTCACTCCGTGATTCGCACCAACCGGCTGATGGTTCAGGGCTACCTTTCTCGGGCTGAGCGTGAGGATTAGGCGTAACGGCAACACCATGTAAGCTTCTTTTTTAGGGGGGGGGGGGGCAAAGCGTTGATTGGGTAAATTTATTGGGTGTCTCAATAGGACTCGGGGACTCAGTTTTTAATTGAATCACTGTCGAATCATTGCGTCAGGGCTGGTCGGAATGACAAATTATGTTGCGCGATGGAAAGGTTTGTTACGCGGGTGTATGGGTTTGGGTAACAGATAGCGCGATGTTATTTTTATTTTGGAACAAAATTGAAGCGAGGGTGCGTCTGGTAAATCATGAGGTTTGCGCTTGAATTTGGTTTATTTTACTCTGAGGTGTATTGCGTGAATAAAACCCTGAAAGTTTAGCGGCATGCGTGTAAGAAGGATCAGGAGTGATGCCAAGGGCGATAAGGGCGACATTTACTTAACGGGCGTGAATACCTAGCCAAAACTGAGCGCGTACGGGGAAACATCGAAATGGACCACCTCTTGACAATTTGTCTTATACTCCGATCTCTCTCGCTCTCGCTCTCGCTCTCTCTCTCTCTCTCTCTCTCTCTCTCTCTCTCTCTCTCTCTCTCTCTCTCTCTCTCTCTCTCTCTCTCTCTCTCTCTCTCTCTCTCTCTCTCTCTCTCTCTCTCTCTCTCTCTCTCTCTCCCTCTCTAGATTGTATTCACTATCTTGCCCCCAATGATTGTGCCATATATCGACGCGACTAGCCTAAACCATACTACAACACAGTAAGTCAGAGACCTAGACAATTCAACTAGCCGGAGAGAGGCTGGTTCGAGCCAGGCCCCTGTGCCCGTTTTGACTCTGCTGACGCCGTCCATCACTGCGAGATGGGAAATAAGTATTCCGTGACTCGATGAATTCTACTGCGTATTTCCGTGAAGTATAGCAAAGGCACCGAGCGGCTAGCCGTCCGTGTCGACCGGACTTTGAAGGGCTAGGGCTAATATGTAAGAGTGTAAGAGCGATAAACGAGGGCAATGTTGCCGAGTTATAGTTTCGCGGAGTGGCTCCGCCGAGGTGTTCAGTAGAAACGCAGTTATAGTTTCGCGGAGTGGCTCCGCCGAGAGTATAAACATTTAGGAACTTATCCCTCAACTGAAGCACAACCGGACCACCCACAACACCGAGTCGGCAGACCGGCAGAGGTGCGTACAACCGTTGTTTCCTTTGAGCTTGGGCGAAATTATCCGCACTGTGGCAGTGCGCGCGCGAGAGATAGAGGTGGTCGATGTAAATGTAGAGTCGTTATGCGGAATGGCTCCGCCGAGAGTATTATCATTTAGGAACCTATCCCTCAACTGAGGCACAACCAGACCACCCACAACACCGAGTCGACAGACCGGCAGAGGTGCGTACAACCGTTGTTTCCTTTGAGCTTGGGCGAAATTATCCGCATTGTGGCAGTGCGCGCGAGCGAGAGAGAGGTAGTCGATGGAAATGTATGCACTGTGGCAGTGCACGTGATTGAAGAGCAGGCAGTGGCCGGGAGCGCGTGAGAAACGTAGCTTCAACGGAAGAGAGTAATAACGTAACATGGGGTCAGAAGGACACCCAGTGCCAATTTGCTTAGGATTCAGGGATTTTAAAGGGGTCAACACCTCCTTATACGCACATAAGTATCAAACAGGGCATAAACTCACCTCAGGAGATAACTATGCCAATTCAGCGCCACTGGAGGGATTAGATGGAAACGGGAGGGTCGGTTTGTCTAGCCGAATGTTCTTCGTAGGTGTATGCATGACCGAATCAATGACGCGTGTGCGGGTGAAAGGGAGTGATGAATGGCTATATTAAGGACCAGTGGGAGCTAGACACTCACGCTCGAATTGCATAAATTTCTCGATGGGGTGGAGCCCTTGGCATCGAACGGATACGAAATGGGAACATGGGAAGGCCTTGCCCTGGGGTTTAAAGCCAAGCAATTCCATCAGCCGGTGACAAATCCCATCCCTTCCAAATTGAACCCATTCCTCCCCGAGCAGTGAAGACTATATGTTGTAAGGAAATTGCAAGCCTCTCAAATAAATTTGTACTGCACGACGACGGAGCCAGTGCCATGTGGGAATCAGACGGGCGTTAAAGAGGAGACGCTACACCTGCCCACCCGGTGTCGTCCTCCGAGGCGGACGATACCGCCGCTTAACAGCTACCCGTCGCTCACACGGCACGTGTGCACCGCCAAGCCGCCCAGCAGCACCGTTACAGTATCTTCCTATCGCATTCCCCTTTAGCAACCGGCGTTTGCCGTCGAAGCTGAAGAAAGGTCTTTGCCTTGCAACTGTCGACAGCAGCCGATGAGTGAAGCTTTTAACTCACACACGACAAGTGCCTACTTCCTTCTCCTCCTTCCGATCCGGTTGCCACGACAAGACGCTCCATATCGACGTTTTCTTCCTTGTCAGCGGCAGCAAGCGTTCCACGAATCCTCTCATCATACAACACACAGTTCTCACAGTCGGCTAATAAAGCGGGCGCTCGGGCGGCGCTCAGTGCGCGCCCCCTGACTTCGGTCACCGTCATCAGTGATGCCGTCCGTGACAGAGGTGACGGCCCGTGACGCTCGCTCGCTAATGGCCCATTGATGACGTCACGAAACACACCATTAGGCGGCGTCCTAAACTCCTGGAAGATGCGCTGCGCCGAGGTTGATTTGTCTAGAACAGTGAAGATAACAATTGCGAGCGAGAAGACTGGAGTGCGTCAAAGCGCTTTTTACAATGTTCAGTAATGACAACGCATTGCAGGTATTGTTTTATGTAAAGATCCATAATGATCAGGATTTCTCTCGCCACCTTGCGATCGGCGTATTCTTGCTGGCAAAGCTCAGAACATCATGATCTGAAGGCGCATATTCTGTCATGGAGAAGAGTGATTGATGTCATGGTGTTCTGCCCAGTTGTTTATTTTGATTGAGGGTAATGCAAAGACATCATCAATTATCTCAACACACACTCTATTACACATACGACAACTGCCATCAATTCAATAACAAACTGAAGTTGATGAAACGCGCTGCTCATGCATTTGCGCAGTTGCAAGTACTGCTTCAGCCTTCGCAAGACCTAGCGAATTTGTATTGATACACCTGACCTAAGAGAGGGGTTTATGAACCCGTTCATCGTTTTGCGTCCCACCCCCGTCCTTAATTTTTTTTAGAAAAAATGCTAAGTTGCGAGGCTAAATTCCCGTCACGATGCTTTTATATGTGCTCGGCAGCAGCTTAATCGATCAGTATTGGTGAATACGTCAATATGGCTACTGATAAACATTGCCGCAGCGTACACGCCAAGCCTCTTCTCATTTCTTTTTAGTCATTTTACTGGAGTCTCTGCCAATCAAAGTTATTGTTCCCAAAACACGTCGGCTAACCAACCACTAAATGCTATGAGGTTCATACGTACGTAATATATTTTCAGGTCAATCGGGTATATCAAAGGTCAGGTCAATGACCTATACTAGGTCGGCTTTCGCTTTTAGGACAACGTCCCTGGCACTGAGGCTCGGACTGCCACCGTGTCACCCAGCCCTGCAAATGCTAATCACAAACAACTGCTCGCAGTGCGTTTGCAGTTAGATACAGATCACAGCTATAGATATGAGGCACAAGCAGCCATCCGGCACAGCCTACCAGTCCATCTGTCTGGTCTGCTCCGCGGCGATTCGAACAGGCCTTGAGACAGGCATCGGCGTCACGGTATTCTCTCCGCTACATATATGGGATCCGACCATTTCAGCAATGTCACGTGTCAACATCCACTCAACAAGTGTCAGCTACCTACATTACCTACACTACGTCACGGCGTCTAACGTTAAACTATGCGATTTTGATGCGCTCCCGCCTCCCAAAACTCGACTCACGCCATGGACACTGCACACCCAACCTCCCGTTTGTGATCACGGCACGCACCGTTTGCAACGGTTATATTATAGAAGCGACAGGAGCTCTGTTAGAGGCCAAGCAAGATATCACGGCAGAGTGCCGTTCCTGGGAGTGGTCGCTGACTAATTCAGTCATACAGACCAGTGACCATCTAACCGCGCACCGGAATCGCGAGGCGCGAGCAGAAACATCTTCAGATTATGGGCCGCTGTGCAGTGTGCACACTTATATGTAACAAGCAGGAACATTTATGATAACATCAATACACCGTGCGCCGCGGAGCATATCCCGGCAGCGACAGCATGCCTGAATGATATGGGAGGACGGCTCATAGACTGCCTGTCATCTTATCCGAAATTCCTCACCTATAGCATCATAGCGGATTCTGCGCCATCTACGTGCTCGTGCGCTCACTCTCATCACGTGCCATTCACGTGCGAACAATCCTCAAAATGCTCATTGCTCACGACCCAGGGAGAGCACTGACCTTAGTCCATTTGCATTCTACTGCCACTACCGCCTGACCTCTCAGACCTTACTTTTCTCAGCCAGAACAACCCCCTCCCCCTCCCCTCCACACACACATATTCCCCACCTGCATTGTGTCCGTCCCCGTCGTAGCTGCTCTTTACGCCGTTGGCGATGCTCCCGCTGTACTGCATAAGCTACCTGGGCGGGTCGTGCCGACCAAGGTCAAACTATGCTCGCCGCTACCTGCTGGATGCTGCCGCCGCGGCGCCCGGCCGTGCCCGCGCCGGTCCGCACTCCGCAGTGCGGCGACTGCAGTGAAGCGCGGCTGGTGTGCACGTCGAGCTGATGTGCACAGCATCACATGGAGGGGTGTGGAGCTGATGTCACTGACGTGAGGTCACTCCGAGTGATGTGTGTGATGTCGCGGGTAGAGCGGCGGGTTGGTGTGAGTGACGTTATGGATTTGTGTGCTGATGTTGGAAATCTTAGATAGTGGTATATGTGACTGACGTGAGGGATATCAGTGAGCGAGCAACTGACGTGAGTGACGCTGTCTGGCTGCGAGTGATGGAGAATCCCGCGTTTTGTGGGATTGCGGAGGATACTGATACGGTGCCTGCTGCTCGACACAATACGGTGCCTACCGCTCGACACAATGATGGTAAGACGTCAAGCTGACTTCACAACGCATAAATTGGATGACAATCCGTATTGAAAATGATTAAGTGTGGAACACAAGCTCATTTCGGACTTCATAGAACTTGTGCAAAATTGCTTGAAACGTTTCGTTACAATTAATCTAACCGCTTCCAGAAAAATACTTTTTTTCTTTTTCTGTCTTTCTGTCACCCCCCCCCCTCTCTCTCTCTCTCTCTCTTCCTCTCTCCACTCAGCACCACCTTTCGTTTTTCTACATCCTGTTCAAGTCGATTCCAGCAACCCTGCATACATAAGCAACGAACCGTTTCCCCATCGTTGGGATAAGTGTCACCCGTGCTCGCATGCTCACGTCGTTATGCAGTTATGCACCGAACAACCGTTAATCTATTTTTAGTGCGGCCGCATAATCTAGTCCCGATTTATAAATAGAAACAGGTTTTGGTTAGTCATCCTCAAACAATCATGAGAGTGGAAATGCGAAATCATTCCCGCATTTGTGCATTTAGAGGAAATCGGGAAACAAGACACGTACCGATGACAGTTGGCATACGGTATCACAATTATCGGCATTGTCTCTGGGGATATACAAGCTATGCCTTTACTGAAATTGTTGATATAGGGTCTGCAAGAGAGATGTCAAACTGGTTATTTACATAATCACGTTTTGATATCTATATGTTACAGGGAGTTTGCGAAATCCGTGTGTTTGCAAACTCCCTAGTGAGTTTGCAAACTCCCTGACCCATCAGTGACTTTGCAAACTCACTAGGGAGTTTGCAAATTCACCAGGGAGTTTGCAAACTCACTGACCGGTCAGGGAGTTTGAGAAATTCCAGAGCGATTGGGCCAAATAAAATCAAATGTGTAAGATGAGGGTGGCATACGTGCCGTCCGTGATGTGAAAACAAAAGCGACTAGTGGTACGGCCTACATAACCGTCGCACGCTGACAAAAAGCTTACAGATCCTTCATTGTTCTACCGAAAAAATGCTACTCGCGGCTATGTAAAGGGGAGGTTCGGAGCAACGTGCTCCTCCGTTCCGTCGTTTCCATCCTCAGGAATCAGGATACTGAAATCCTTCTCGTCCACGCCGAAACCCCCACTCCGGGCTGGACAGGCACCTTTATCTCATGCGGGCTGCTCCCTTGGAGCGGCACCGCTGCTCCCGAGGGAGCGCACCCCGTAGCCGGGTGCAAAGAGTGCTTGGGGGGCTGGTCGGTCTGTCAATTCGGACGGGCTCAGCCCCGGCGACTCTGCATATAGGGTGTCTGCCCAGACCAATGTCTCCCCCTATAATTCCTATCATTCGTCCGACTCTGAAATGGTCTTGTCAGACCGAAAGGGCCTAACCCCCAAAAAACAAAACAAAAACAAACAAGCAGTGTGCGCCAGTCGTAGCTGGGCTGGCTGCCAGCAGCGCCGGCTCTCGATGACACGTCTATGGCGGAGTGGGAATGGGCGTGAATTGATGCGTGTGCCTGTACTTTAGCATAAGTGACCAACAGTGAGCTGTTTCTACTTTGATATATTTAGCCTGACTCTGGAATAGCCACACTTGAGTGGAACGGGTCTAACTGGGACGTGAACTAAATAAATGTATAACTAAATGAAGCGGCGGTACATGCATGGGTAAATCACTGAGCAGTTTAAAATAAAAAAATGTATTCATGGTGTGCATATGATCTATAAGCTTTTTGTCAGCGTGCGAGGCCTTAGAGCTAGCCTCCATTGTTTTAACATCACGGACGGCACGTATGCCACCCATATGCTGCACAGTGCACACTTGTTTTTATTTGGCCCAATCACTCTGAAATTTCTCAAACTCCCTGACCGGTCAGTGAGTTTGCAAACTCCCTAGTGAATTTGTAAACTCCCTAGTGAGTTTGCAAACTCACTGATGGGTCAGGGAGTTTGCAAACTCATTAGGGAGTTTGCAAACTCACGGATTTCTCAAACTCCCTGTAACATATACAAGCAATGCCTTTTATGGTTTGCGCCAGCGGCTAGATCAATGGCACGGACAAAAAATAACCAAACATGTCCGTGTATTCGAGCGACGGATCTGTATTCTCAGTGGATCCCATGGCAAACTGAAAGTTGATATTTATAATTCCATTGGATCCTGTATGGTAAGAATAACCCATGTATGATCTTGCCATGAACCAGGAGCAGGATATATGAATCGTGTGGATCCCGCAGCTCGCAACCTGTAAAGCCATGGTCTAAGGTGGTTTCATAGCGACAAAAGTGCATTGCACGGGTTCCTAAAACAGAACCATAGCGCAATGCGCATTGTAGTAAGTGTTTCTTAAATAGAACATATAATTAGGCATGTCGACGGAAATGGAGCAGGATCTTGATCTCACTGGGTTTATAGGAAAATGTTGACAATTATCTATGGGCTCAATAGATCTCACGACAAAATGATATCGCTGCATTTGTGATTCTGTACGGATCCGATAACATTTATAAATATCCGTGGGATCTGATCCCAGGGCCAGGTCCGTTTTCTAAGATCCATGCGTCATGCATTCGTCTGAAAATAAAAGTGTGATTAGCAGTAACACATCAGTAACAAACAATGATCATCAATGATATTGAAATATGACTATTTCCCTAGCAGAAAATGGTAATAGCCAATAACCACTACAACCTCTCTACGCTCCTCCACTGAGGACTTACGGGACGACGTTGCCAAATGCAATGGTCTTAAATATCCAACTCAACCGCTTTTTACAGTCTTTATAATTTGTTTTGCTTCACTTCTCACGTAAAAGGGTACCGAAGATAGCCGACTTTACACTTACGCATTCGGGTTATCGTCCTCAACATCATTCCAGTCTTTACCAACACCAACTTTACGTTCACCATCATTGTCGCCACGCATGACCACCAATTATTGCCAGTACAGTCACATCAACCGTTACCACAACCATATCCAGCATGTCCACAATATCCATCACCGTCTCCAGCACGGCGCTATCCTTACGACCCCCACCATTTACCACCACCCTCATGCTGTTGCAGTGGTGCACGTGGAGGCCAAGTCGGATGCCGACGGCCGTCCTGTTCAGCCAGAGGTGCGCGAACACTGGAACAAGAGGATGGACTTCCTCCTCTCCATTATCGGCTTTGCCGTCGACCTGGCCAACGTCTGGCGCTTTCCCTACCTCTGCTACAAGAACGGCGGAGGTGAGAGAGAATGATGGTGATGATGATGATGATGATGATGATGATGATGATGATGATGATGATGATGATGATGATGATGATGATGATGATGATGATGATGATGATGATGATGATGATGATGATGATGATGATGATGATGATGATGATGATGATACACAACTATAAATTGCATTTTAGATACTTCCTATATGCAAACTGATTCAATGTCTCATTGGAGATTGATCAGTGGACAGGGATGTTGACCAGTTCTGGTTTTCTTCTTCAGGCGCGTTTCTGGTGCCCTACCTTCTTCTGCTGGTGTTCGGCGCCCTGCCTCTTTTCTTCATGGAGCTGGCGCTGGGTCAGTTCAACCGGCAGGGGCCCATCACCGTGTGGAGGATCTGCCCCATCTTCAAGGGCGTGGGCTTCTGCGCGGTGGCCGTCTCCTACTTCGTCTCATTCTACTACAACGTTATCATCGGCTGGTCGGTGTACTTTATCTACTGGAGCTTCTCGTCGACGCTGCCGTGGAAGGACTGCAACCACGAGTGGAACACGGACAACTGCTCTGTGACGGCCAACATCACCTCCAGACAGAGCCCGTCGCAGGAGTTCTTCAGGTGAGTCCAGAGTCACTCGGCAAGAGCGCTTCAGGTGAGTCATACAAAGTCACCGCAGGCGTTTTTCAGGTGTCTCAAAGTCATCGGCAAGGGTTCTGCAGAGTCTCTCCTTTAGGTCTATGGAGCTCTTCGAGTGATTTTAGAGTCCTTCACAGAGCTTCTCTTCAGGTGAGTTTAGGGTTCATAGGAGCTCGTCAGGTGAGGCCAGAAATTAAGTTGTGAGAGCGCTTTAAAAGGTTGTGCAATATGCAATCTTCAGGCTGTGGAAGTTGACAACACCACTAAATGACTGGTAGGTACACTCAGCGAAGAGCATCGCGTCAATATGCCAGAAAAAGGCATCTTTGAAATGCCCGTATCGGCCGTATCACGCAACGCCCCAATAAACCATTACAATTGCATATTCTATTGCATATATCAAATATTAATTGGATAACCTTATTCGAGGTCAAGCGTTGATTGCAACTGAGACGAATAGTCACAATTATCTAGCTTAATTTCTAATGTGCATCGCGGTTGCAGTGATCATTGGCCGAAATGTAAGCTGTTCATCGTCACTGCAACCTATGCTCGTATTTCCCATAATTCATGTCAATTATTGCTGCGATCAGTTACTGGTGGCTGCATTCATAAATTGCATTGATCTTACTGATCAATTAATCAAACTAATTTAACAGACCCTATCCTTTACTTATAAGTAAGCTTATGAGGCGGCGAACTTAAGTATTTTCATTTGTGAAAAGACCTTGCCTCTAACCTCGTAAATCAGCACCGAATCAACAAAGCTGAAAGTAGGTAAACTAAAAATAACACTCTTGTCACAGCACTTCAGTCTCACGTCACGACACCATTTATTTTCGACGAACAAGCTCTGATTCCAATAATGCAATCGGCACTTTTTACTTCCGCCTGTGCCATTCGACGCCTCTAGTACCGCATGACGTTATTGGATCAGTACGTTTAACGCCCACAGAGCAGGACGTTTAACGTTTCTGGATTATATTGTTTAGCGTTTAACGTCCCTAGAGTCGGATGTTGATGTCAATAGCGACAGTCAGCTACCCAGAGACATTATCTGGCGCGCAGCGCACAATAACTGCATTAAATACACATTAGCGGGACATTAGCATGAGCGTGACGTCATTGGTCGTGGACGAATCACCACGAACAATTGATTACCATTCGCTAGCATAAATTATTATTTTTTACAATCCGCTGATTGGCCATGTTTATCATATTTGATTCAAATTTCCACTAGCATTGGTGAAACATAACGATCGCATTACCTGGTAGACAGACCTTTGGAGGACTGCAAATTGTATAAATGATATTTGAATAATTGAAAGATTGCATTCCGAAACGACGGAAACGTCGCACTGTCATTCTTCGACGATAACAACTAGCTGTTTTCCGACCGCCATGGGGAGTTACTATTTATGTGCGATATTTTGTTCTGGTCAATGCCTGCAGTGTGAAGTTCCGCCAGAACCATTCGGTGTTCCGTCCGCTAATCGTTGCACTGAAGGCTTTCGTCACAGTCTAGATAGGTTGACATTGACCCATATTGCTCGAGCCTGCAGCTGCAGTTTATAAATACAGGAGACCGCCAAGGGTGTCGAATGCCGATGACCGCTGACTAAACTGGGTGTGGTCTGAGAAACTTGTGACGTCATTCAGGAACTGCCTGATGTCATCAGTGCAGGATTCCGCCTCGGCACCATGGCAAACAGTAGTAAGATCGAGTACGGTTGAACTAAACAATTGCCTCAGTCTCAGTCTAAGCATTTACAAATGAAATATGTAAATCTTCGTCTATCCAGGCTTTGGGAGTGCCAAGATTAAGTCAGATATTGAGGGTGAGCTATGAGCATGCACATTGCACAATGCACATGTTCTCATGTTCATTATGCCTGACGAGTCTATCAACCGTGTAAGCGATGTTTCCGTTTCGTAAGTCGCACATGGAGATCCCTTACGTCGTCTTACGCCGTTCTTGTCTAGTTGCATGAACCTACGCGTTCATATTGAGGTAGTCCATTGAAAAGCAAGCTGGATTACTTTTTTTTTTGTCCCTGTCATTGACCTCCAAGGCACCTTTGGAACTATTTTCCTAATTCAAACGTGTTTAATAGTCTTTGGAAAAAAACTCGAGTTAGATGAAAATGAATGAAGCTAGTTCACACAGTTAAAATGACGGCCAAGTGTTTTTAGTTATGCATCGGTTGGTGGCGCTGCCCGAAAAGTTGTGTCCCACAGTGAGATACTTTGAAGGAGCAGCCCAGCGGCACAGTTCGGGAAAAATCGGGGAGTTAGGACCGGAGAGGGGGGCGGGGGGGGGGTCGGTCACCTGGTGCCTGACCGGCCGTCCGGCCGCGCGCCGCTCATCTCCGCGAGATTGGTGTCGTGTAGGAATGCCGCGGCTCGACCGAGGACCGGCTAGGCGGCAATCGCGCCGGCCACCGGTACTCGCCGGCCATATGAGCCGACATTCCGCGGCCCATGACCCACCGCTGGCGATCGTGGCTCCTTCTCCCTCCCCGCGCCCCGTGAGGATGACCTAGTTGCCCAGCGCCCCCCCCCCCCGCGGGGTGACGACGGACCCCCACCGGCCGCCGGTAAACGGCCGCTCACGGCGCACCGTTTGTTTACGGAATCGGCTCTCGCAAACCGTATTAATGGCGTTCCGGTATTCCGCTCACATGTCCCGGCTGTTGAGCCCTGTGCGCGAGGAAATGCGCCTTGTGCCTGGCTCAATTCGCGACGCACAGAGGAAGTGGGCCTCGCTGAAGGTCGGGCCTCATATTGAGCTCGTTTCTAGAGCCGGTATTATGCCCGAGGCTTCTGTCGGTCGGTCCTATCGAGGCAGGACGTGGTGTCTTTCATAGTGGCATGCGGGGAGGCACCGGACCGTGATTACGAGCGAATAAACAAATAATCACAGGCGCTTGAAACGTTTCAGTGCGCTAGAACTGCACTGAAAAAGTCACGCGTTGGTTAAAAACAGCCTTTTCAGACTGTTTCACACATTCCTTTCACGAATACTGACTACTGACGGGGGTTCGGTGACCATTTCTTGTTTAACTGACGGCGTTCGGGGGTGCCCCGTGCTGCCCGCAGTCGGGCCGTGCTGGGCACACACAGGTCCGACGACTACGACCTGCTGGGCCCGCCTCAGCCGCAGCTGGTCCTCTGTGTGGCTATCGTCTACACGGTGCTCTACGGATGCCTCTTCAAAGGCATCAAGTCGTCAGGTGAGACAGAGACAGACAAACTGTCATTTACCGGAAAACTTGCAAGGTAATGCCGTCAGACTGTCAGGCTGGACATGGAGCTGGTCAGACCGCCGCGCATAACGAGTGATCAACATCCATCAGACCTGACTGGTCATTAAATGAGGTCATCAAGTCCCGAGAGACAAAAACAGGTTTATCATGTGCTCGGGCTAGCCTCGTGTCCAGTGAGGTAGGCAGGCATAATCTGTATCTCTGTAGGTACGGCAATTCCCTTTACTCTTTGTAAAGTCTTTTTTACTTATTTCATTTGAAACAAATAGCCCAAATAGTTCTAGTATCTATTTTTCATCGGTGAATGCCTTGATATCTGGTTTGTGGTCTGTCTTTACTGTGTCAGTGACTGTGTGCAAGCTGCCCTCCGAAGTGATGATGTGGTGATGTGAGCTCCCCGAACACCCCATACGAGTACAGGGAAGGTTGTGTGATGCGAGTTCCCTGAACGTCCTTAACGATGGAAGTGGTGTGATGTGAGGTCCCTGAACGTGCTGCAGGAAAGGTGGTGTGGATCACGGCGCTGATGCCGTACGTCATCATCATCATCCTGCTGGTGCGCGGCGTGCTGCTTGATGGAGCTGCTGACGGAGTCCGGTTCTACCTGGAGCCTGACCTCAGCAGGCTCGGAAAAACCGAGGTCAGGACTGAGACGCACCTCGCACATGTTTTTTTTTTTACACATGACTATTACGCATATTTCCGCATTAAACAAAACGGACCTCAAACCCATTGGCCTGAGACAGAGTCGGCGATAAATATAGTAACTTCCTTCAAAGCTTATCTATAAATGAATGGTTTGCGAGAAAAAGGCCGCACGACTATGCCTTATAAAAAAAGCATGCGAGGTCAAGCACTTGCAGGTGTTTCGGCCGTTTTTGAATGTCATCTGAGACACATGACCTCCATGACCCCGATGACCTCCATGACCCGATTTGACCGTCGTGTGCGTGCCTCAGCAAGTGGCACAAGCCGCCAGGCAAACTTGAGCCGTTTTCCACCGTTCTTCCGACTGCATTACGAGTACGACAGGTCATGCTTCCCAGGCCTGAGAGTCGTGCAGCCGAATAGTGATGCCTTTCACTTCGGTACAGCGTTACAAATGGCTTTTTGCTATGAGGTGACACGCATTCACGTCGGGACTTGTGGTCTAATTTAGCATGGAATAGCACTATCGTATCTCGCTCATAATTGTGTGAAATGATAATGCAATAAACTACGCTAATTCCCGAAGCTTGCATTGACAGAGTCGGTTCGTTCTCACTGATCTGAGCTCATATCCAGATTATTAAGCGCTCAATCATGTAAACTGGGCTCCGTCGCTTTCCACAGGTGTGGTATGACGCGGCCGTTCAGATCCTGTTCTCGGTTGGGGCTGGATTCGGGGTTCACCTCACCTACGCCAGCTACAACGAGTTCAACAACAACTGCTACAGGTCAGATGGGAAAAGTCCAGGACACACACACGCAGCGTGAAGGCTATCATTCTAATTTGTACCGATAAGGAGACATATAGTTACGCTATAATTCTTTCGGTGCCATAGCTCTTATAGTGCACTATTTCGTGTGACATTTTTTTACTGTATAAATCGCACATAAAAAGCGCAAATTTACCGGCATGTTCGGATTCACAAGCTGACGCTAGCTGTTTCCGTTTCAGGGATTGTCTTATTGCAACAGTGGTGAATTCAATGACGTCATTTCTATCGGGTTTTGTCATCTTCATCTACCTGGGCTTCATGAGTCACCAGCGGGGTATTCCAATCGACCAGGTGGCTACCGAAGGTCAGTTACCTCGAAATGCGACTAAGTTGTCCAGTGGACTTTTTAGAGAAAGCTGTAACCTGTGGCGACTCTCTACTTTTGTGCGAAGTGTCATGAGAATTCACGCTATCTGACTCTGAACCGTTTTTTTTTTTTGTTAATCTCTCCACGACCGGTCTTTTTAGTGTCAGTACGCGATCGGATTATCTTACCGGTACTTGCTCTGCGGCCAGCACACAACTAAGATGTGAAACATAACCTTACCCGATAACCCGTAATAATTGTTCCTGCCATGAAGAACGTCTGTAGATTTAGCCCGATGTGCATACTGTATAATTTGATATTAAAAAGAAAACTATTGAAAATAATCATGTTCTGGTGCATATTATCAAATACATTATTCTAAATACATAATGCATAATTCTTACCGTAATTATAAACGTGTGAAGAATTATTGACCTTCTCCTCGAACAAATAAAATCGGAGCCGAAAGTTTCGTTGAATATGTACGGTACCAGTAAAACGCCTTTTGGGCGAAGAACGAGCGAGCGAGATAGTGAGCCCTGCACGTGCGGAAGGGCAAGAGGGTACTTCCAACGGGGCTTGTGCAAAGCACCCTTCTAACCGGTCGCTAGCGGTGTGCCAAATTTGAACGCAATCGGCCCAGCCGTTCCTGAGATCTGGAAGCGGCATTCTGCACGTGCGCACGTGCAAACGGAGTCCAAACTGACTTTTGCACGGCACCCTACTAACTGGTCCCCAACAGTGTACCTACCAAATTTGAGCGCAATCGGCCCAGCCGTTCTCGAGATCTGGGAGTGCCCCCAGCACGTGCGCACGTGCAGTAGCACCCTAACCAATCGCCCCAGTAATTACCGAGTTATTGAAATGGGAACAAATTTGGCACCTCTTCTTTTTGCATTTTGCACGTGCAGTGGGGGTCACTCATATAGATCAAGAGTATCCGACCTTTGGTAGAAGGGATGCAGCTACCCTACAAAAATTACCGCAAGACAATCGCCCAAGCGGCTGCTGAGATATGGGCCTCTCAAAATCACTACTTTTGCAAAACAGCTTAAACAATAAACACCCTTGACTTTTCACGTGGCACGTGCCACGACGGTCACTGAGATGTATCAAAAGTAGTCAATTACGGAGTAGAAGGGATGGGGCCACCCAGCAAAAAAGACCGCAGGCCAATTGGTCCAGCGGTTGCTGAGATATAAGCCTCTCAAAAGCGTTACAGGCCGGGCCGGGCCGGGCCGCTCATACTGAGATTTTTTTCCGTTATATTGAAAAGACTCACTTCGCTCGCTGCGCTCGCTCGCTCGTAATTACAGCATTTAACGCACGGCAATACTGTATTCAATACTGCTTTTGGCTTTGATTTTCTTTGTTCGAGGAAAAGGTGAATGATTCTTCACATATTTATACTCGTTATGATCCTCGCAAGAGCACTTCACACCATTAATTTCAAATGCGTAATAAATTTCTTTACGATTTTTCGAGCCGTCAGCTGTCTCACCTCCCCCGCCGTGCTGCCCCATCACTTATCAGCACAGCAGTGCCTGGAAGTACACTCCAAGTGTTGTCCAGATGTCCCAGCCTCTACCCCCACTGACGGGTTCCCCGTCGGGTCCAGGTCCCGGCCTGGTGTTCCAGGTTTATCCAGAGGCCATTGCCACGCTGCCCTATCCACAGCTCTGGGCCGTCCTCTTCTTCAGCATGCTCATCATGCTCGGCATCGACAGCGGCGTGAGTAGGACGTGATTTAGCGGCATTCTCGTGAGCTTGTGTTAGTTAGTGACTTAGTTTCGTGGATTTTGCGTAAAAAGCGATATAAGGTACGGAAGACTGAGTGACGGCATCGAGGGAAACGTGACGAAATCAGTATCCTGATGTGAATCAAGATAGAGCCATGAAACGAAAGGTGCTGTTAAGTTCATAGCTTCGCCTACTCGCCATGGTTTGACAGTCATATGGGGCTTGCTTACTGCACACTTGCGAATCGTATGAAAATGTGCATAGGCATGGTGTTTATCATATGTTTTATTGTTTTTAATGCTTACCTTAATCAAATATCAATTAATTTAATTAATTGTTTTAATTAATACCTTCTGTTGAGAATCTATTGGACGTGGACTCACGAGTCACGTCCTGCATATTTCCCTTATGCTTACCTTTGTAACAATCATGGATGAATGTAACAAACATGTAAACCTACTTACTATATTTCCAATGCATCCTGTTCGCTATGAAAAAAGTTCCGGGATTTAGTTACGCGCTCTATGACGGCCATGTCAGAGACATGCCATAAATATCCTGGCACGTCCGGGTGCCATAATGGAAATGTAAAAGGATATACCTTACTGCCATGGTACCTATAGGTGTACATACCTATACACCGAACCTTAGCTTCAAGTTTGTTAGCCCTATGAGTTGTCGGTTTAGATATGCAATTTTCATTAGAGGTTGTATACTAAAAGCTTATATCACCTTATGTACATAATGGATAGCACGGAATATTTAACTACTGAAAATGATTAAACATTCTTGATAAGCGTTGACATTTATCAGGGCTGACATTAATGAGCAAAACCAAAATCATTCTGCTATGGGCAAGAGTGGTTAGATGAACGTTCATTTTCTGTTATTAAACTAAAACAGTTAAAAGTCCAAAAACCAGGACGATGGAAATGGGGAAGCTTCTTGAGCGGTTGGGTCGTAAGAATCTCTTTTGATTCAAAATTCGATTTCTTCCGGTCACTAAAATCGATTTAATGCATTTTGTTCACAATCCCTGATTCGCGAATTGGTTGAGTGTTTTTATTGGATATGTTGAGACATGTCTACTTTTTAAATGGTTATTTTATAGAGGGGAACACAAAAACAATGGTACGATCACGTATGATGGCGGTGATTTTTTTCATCATTATATCCATTATGTTATAAGTATGTGATTAGCACATTGCTGACATAATGCTCGTAAGAAAATTTGAATAAGTAGGTAGGTAAGCAATTCATATCGTCTTTCTGCTTCCATTTCTTTACAGATGGGAGGTCTGGAGTGCGTCATCACCGGCATCGTGGACGAGTTCGGAGACAGCTTCAAGCGCTGGCACCTGAGCCGTCGGCTCGTCACCCTTCTGATCGTGGTGTCGTCATTCCTGGTGGCTCTGACGTCACTCACACCGGTAATACGTCATTTCGTGGGCAGAGGCTCTCACACAGTTCCGTACCATCCACCCTTCTGACCTCCGGTTACTCATGGGACGTTACGTGCCACTGAAAACATTTTTTTTTCATTATTGGGGCGACAGAAAGGATTGTCTGTGTTGCTGCCTCCAAGGTGCCAACAAGAAAGTAGGGAGACATCACCGTCTCGATCCGCAATCTCCAGTCCCCACTAACCCCTGCTATTCAGTCTCCCGGCCGCTGGGACTCCGGGGTCCCGGGGGAGAACCGTGTTTGTGCGCGTGCATGGCCAATTGGCAGTATTAAGGGACGGCTCGGCATGGTGGGGTAGCAGCCTCCCCCAGGGAACCCCATTAGCGGCAGTATGAAGAGGCGTCGCACCAAGCCGGAACGACGATCAGTGTTGCCACGCCGCGGCCTCAGTGTCAAGTTAATTAGGTTAGGCGGCGTGCCTGTCCATTGTTGGACATGGAACTGCGGGTATTACTGGTATATACCAGTGCGGTTCAGTGGTGTTATGTAAGTCCGAGTCAGCCGTTCTCATTATGTGTATTTTTTGTCAATGAGTATTCAAGCTGGAATAAATCTTTCCACCATTTCGTTTGTACCCCATGGTAGATCTAACTTGCCCTCACCTGACAGTAAATAGTAAATACTGTGACGTGCTACCTGTAAACTATCTATACCATGCTCATCTGGCCCATGTTCCCCCAGCCCAGGGCGCGGCATTGACGTGTTTTCTTGGCCACTGCAGCGGCTCCTCTAGAAATATCCATCTGTTCCCCTGACCCATGTTTCCCCAGCTCAGGGCGGAATTCACGTGTTCACCTGACCTATGTCCCTGCAGGGCGGGGTTTACGTGTTCACCTGTCCCATGCTCCCCCATGGCGGGATTTACGTATTCACCTGACCCATGTTCCCCCAGGGCGGGATTTACGTGTTCACTTGGCCACTGCAGCGTGCTCCTACAAATATCCATCTGTTCACCTGACCCCTGTTTCTTATAGGACGGAATTTACGTATTCACCTGACCCATGTTTCTCGCAGGGCGGGATTTACGTGTTCACCTGACCTACATATGCTCCCCACAGGGCGGGATTTACGTGTTCACCTGGCCGATGTCCCCCGCAGGGCGGGATTTACGTGTTCACCTGGCTGGATACGTACACCGCCGGCCTTGCGCTGCTCTGCTCGGCGCTGTTTGAGGCTCTGGCAGTCGGCTGGGTGTACGGCAGCCACGTTCTGGCCAAAGACATTCACCAGATGACTGGCCACACGCCGGCATTGTTCTGGAGATGCTGCTGGAAATTCATATCGCCACTCTTCCTCGGGGTGAGTTTCTCGCGATAAAGTTTGTAGACGTTTGAGGCATGGATGGTCTCCATTGGTTCTTTTTCATGCGATTCGTCGGGTTTCGAAGTGCGAGCATCATTGCCAATTAAGCTTTGTGCCAGACCAGCGTAACCCATTGTGAAGTCATTACGCTCTTCATAACATAGCTTTGGTGTGGTTACCTCACCTGTAATTTGTCTAGCTCAGCTCTCACTCAGGCTAATTGATTCTGCTCAGATCGGCCCAAACTTAGGAAACCAAAGGTTCTCTTGAGCATTACCATATTCGAGATTAGTCCGGTTAAAACTCGAAACTGATCTGAAATTACCATACTTTTGTCACGGATCACATAACGGATCGGCAACTCCCCCCCGCGACCTGTCTCCCCTGCCACCTGGTGGGCATTTAGGTGAACTATCTTCACTAAGGAAGCGGCCGGCCTCGTGCGTGTTGAGGGCGTCGTGTCGGAGCTAATTAAGTGATTTTTCTGCGGAACATGGTTTCTCAGCTAGCTTAGAAGATACCTATGGTATAAATGAGAATGGCAAGAATCGTTAGAGACAGGTTAAGTATTTGAGATTGTATCCTTTGTCATGAAAATCGTTGTTTTCATACCCACGTGGGCGACCTAGCGTCCATCGTGAAATGGGTAATTTTCCGATCGCTGTCATCTCTTACATATATTTCATGAGTATATTTTTGATAAATATTCATCTGCCGATTAAATTAAACCTGTAACTTTCACAAATATACTTGCATAAAGTAAAAACCCACGCCGGGCCGGTACACGGTACCAACCGCGCCGGGCCGAGGGTGTATGAAACCCCCGCCCGCCCCCCCCCCTAACTCGGCTTCTGGGCCACGTAGCCACACGGGGTAAGCGGCATTCCAAAGAGCGTAAAAATAATGGCGGAAATACTTCAGTCATTTTTTAGGTCAGGTCAAATGTCAGGTTACCAGAGGTCATTAAAGGCAAATTTTGTCTATTTCAACAGTTTTCGAAACACCCGACGCATAACTTGAGAACCAATAGAACTACAGCGCCGCGGAAAAGCGCATTCGATAGCTCTTTCACAGGTCTTTCTGAGTTTTATTCATAGATTTGACCTCAGGTCAACGGTGTAGCCTCCAGAGGGCAAAAACTCCAAAAATAGGCGTGTTTACGAAAAACTTTTTTTCGGTAATAACTTTTGACTTAAACGAGCCACGACCTTACTTTTGCCAGCATCGTGTTCCTCTCGTCGAGACGCGTCGAATGAACTATACTCGTAGGTTGACCTTGAAAGGCCATTTTGAAAATTTTACGGCAGGCCAAGGTCATGACCTGACCGGAAAGGGTCATGCTGCATATCAGTCGATCCGTATCGTCGAGCTGAACACATCTGACGTGTTTTCATCGCTCTAGCACGTCTATCAAAAGTTATAGTAAAAGAAACTGCTGTTGACCGTTTTCATGCCACTGTTAACATGTAACCCGATGTTTGAGGGTGTTAAGAATGACCCGCCCAGACCAAATGAGACGCCTTTCAATTTGCTCTTATTGACTTATCATTAGTATTATATATATTATTAGCGGCGGGGAGGGTCGTATCGTGAAGCAGGGGCCAAGGTCCACCTATAGTCTCGTTAATGGCCAGCTCGTTGGATTTGCTCCGATGTTATCTACTCCAACTGGTAGCCGGTGACCGTCTAGATAGGAACAGGGGATGAACTCGTACTATGGGCAGACGGATGAGGAAAGGTCTTCGTGTACCTGCGGCCAAAAACGACGTTAAAGTTGCGAGGACGTGCTTCTTGCTCATACAACTCAAGCATAACTAGAAACATTTGGATCATTATGCATGCTCCAGCTGATTAGGGAATGAAGTATGTAACATTTCCAAGTTATGGTAACATTCCAGCTGTTAGAGAGACTCCGTAATTTAATCCATTCTTAACCTTTGTTTGTTTTTGTTTTGTTGGGTTAGGCCCTTTCGGTCCATTGAGACCATTGCAGAGCCGGAAGGATTATAGGAATTGGGGTAAACATTGGTATGGACAGGCACCCTATAGAGTCACCGGGGCTGAGCCCATCCGAATGGACAGACCGACCAGCCCCCCAAGCACTCTCTGCACCCGGCTACGGGTGTGCTCCTGCATGGGAGCAGTGGTGCGCTTCAAGGGAGCAGCCCGCATGAGATAAAGTTGCCTGTCCAGCCCGGATCAAGAGTTGCTGCGTGGAGGAAAAGGATTTGAACTTGATCTGAACATCCTGAGGATGGAAACGACAGACGGGTGTTGCGTTCACACCCGTTTCCCCGTGCCTTTTAACACTGGTTGCGGCGGGCGGCCGGCTCCCCTCCTTAGTGAAGATATCCGCGCCGCTAGATGGCAGCCCGCTCCGCGGGTACACCGATAACAAAGGGAATCGGGGAGAGTTGCCGATCCGTTAGGTGATCCGTGCTTTTGTGTAGAGCCCAAGTCGCAGCAACATCCTTTTTATCGTCTCTCGCTACGATCGTAGTGCTACTGAGGCGTCATCTATAGACAGCTGACGTTCACTTCATCGCCCCCAGACGGTGCTGGTGCTGGGCATTGTCTACTCGGGCCCGATATCCTACGAGGGCTTCACCTACCCGACGTGGGCGACAGCGGTGGGCTGGACGTACGCCTCTGTGCCGGCACTCTTCGTGCCTGCCATGGCACTGAAGACCATCTGGAAGCACAGGGGCCACGGAGTGACACAGGTAAAGGCCTACCGCTCTCAGCAATAGCAGGTGACTCTGGCTCTGGCGCAGTATCTGACGATGTAATTAATGGCACGCTCACCAGTCACCTCCGTTCCGTCGTTTCCATCCTCAAGATACTGAAATATTTCCCCTCCACGCTGCAACACCCACTCAGGACCGAACAGGCACCTTTATGATTTATCTCATGCGGGCTGCTCCCTTGGAGCGGCACCGCTGCTCCCGAGGGAGTGCACCCTGTAGCCGGGTGCAGAGAGTGCTGGGGGGGGGGGGGGGCTGATCGGTCTGTCCATTTGGACGGGCTCAGCCCCGGTGACTCTCTAGAGTGTCTGTCCAGACCAAAATCTTCCCTTAATTCCTGTCATCCTTCCCTTTGAACTCTGGTCGGAGCTACTGGTATTCCACATACGCGCTGGCCGGGTGGGGGGGGGGGGGGGAGTTATGTTGGCGCGACCCCCTCGCCATTTCGCCCCTGATGAAGCTAAAGCCTCGCCGAATAAAACGAGGGTGTGTACCGTTACGAGGCGCAGTGGCTGGTAACCGATTTTAAGGTATCAGGTTAACTGGTGCCTGGTGGCGTCTGAGGTTAGGTCAAGTGGCCAAGGCACGGGTTCGGTTGTGATGCATAACTTCGCCAAAAACCATCGCAGAGCCGCGATTTTGGGATCATTGAGTTCGCCTCGCTCAGGCGCGTCGAATGGTATACTTTTTGGTCGAGTGAGGTCAACTTGAGGTATTGACCTCGGGTCAAGGTCAGGTCAGAGCTCCCAGGTCACGAACTTGGTAAAAGAAAGTCATATCGCATATCATCCGATTTGGCAGGTTTTCCCGAGTCCATTGGTGGCTTTCCTGACTCGCTATAAATTTGATCGGGAGTTATTAACGAAAAAGTCTTATGACCCTGGTGACGTCATAAATGACGTCATGAAAAGTCATCAATGCAAAAGTGAAGCAACAGACCCTGCAAGGAGTGCATGAAATCACGATTTCGTGTGCTTGAGATAGTTTGAGATAGTTCCCGGCGCTAAAATAACAGTTTTCATTTTTTCCCATTGACTTATAATCGTAAGTCTTATAACGACTTATAAACGTGATTGACCTGACCTCATGTGACCTTAAGGAAACTGGAAAAATCAGAGATATACAAGTTGTGAGACCTCTGGAGCATACTATGTCCTGTAAGTTGGACCTCCTTGTGAAAGTTCCTCTGGCACTGAGGGCGTGGCAAAGTTGCGACATGAGGACCGTGCAGAGGTTCACTTATGACGTCATAGGTCAGTGACCCGACCTGACCTGAAAATCGGTTGGTGTCACAAGGTCTGGCTTGAATGAAAAATCAGGTATGCCAACATTCAGCTCTATCGCGGGCATGTACGGAGCTATCGCGAAAAGGGGGGGGGGCGGCAGCCGTCCTCCTTCTCGGCCGGCGAGGGCCTATACACGTATGTCACCGTTTTCGCACTTATCGACTTATGTTAAGAAAAATGAAAGGGTCATGTCGTGGGCGATCAGCCTTTATAACGATTCTAATTAATGTTATCGGAACAATGATCTCAGCTTGAATTCCCCAAACTTTTCTAAATCAAAGACAAACACTGTGGCGAGCGTTTCCTTGAAACCACCGTAGGCGTGGGCGGATGAAGGACATGTTTGCCCTCTTTGTCTTGGGCTGATACTTGATAGCACCTGAGCACGTGAATGACACTGGCAGATAGGCGCCAAGGATGACTGAATTTGGAGATCGGTGCTCCGGTCGGCGCTGGGTAGTTCAGACTAGAGTTAGTCAGAGCCGCCCACGTGGCCTTGAGAGCCCACTATCGGAGCACCTCTCAAAGACACAATGGCTCGGTCAGCTGTGATAGGCGCCGCGCCGAGGCTTGTAGGAAGTGGATCATATCGTTCATGTGTTCACGTCCGAATATGGCAATGGAAAACACGTCATACTTCTAATGAGTACTGCACAGCCGATGTCGACCCCAATTGTGGTAACATGATGCTTCTTAGAAAGTGTTCATTCAGTTGTTTGATCTGTTACAAAGTTGCCCTTCGTTGGACTCTGGCCATGCTCTTTAAGGCTCTTGGGCCTAAGAGCTTTGCGTCGAGTTTACAAAGCTTCAAATATTGTTTTTGCATCGCATTGTTATATTGTTAATCATAGTGCCTCTGGTATTGCCTTGGTAAACATAGCTAATTGAAATGTCGCACCTCTGCAGTCATATTTATGTTGTTTCTTTTTAATTTCTCATGTTTCATCACTATCACCATGCTGTTTGCATTGTTGCAGGCCATTGCACTCAGCATCTCTCCAGAGGTGGAGCACAAGGCCATCAAAGACGGCGAGCGACCAGTGAGATTCAATTGGAGACACTGGCTGAGCATTTAAGAAATGAAGAGAGAGAGAGAGAGAGAGAGAGAGAGAGAGAGAGAGGAGAGAGAGAGAGAGAGAGAGAGAGAGAGAGAGAGAGAGAGAGAGAGAGAGAGAGAGAGAGAGAGAGAGAGACCCTATGTGTGACCCCAGTCCCCAGATAAGTAGAGGTCACTGCAGCTGAGAATAATAGTCGAAAGTCAGTCCCTCTCCGGCCGGTCTGTTGCCAATCAGTCGTCACTCGTGGCTAGACAAGTGGCTTGGAGCCAGTAGGTAACGGCTGATGCAGGGCCACTTTGCTCGCATTTGAACGGGACCAGATCTCTAGCGGAGTCGACTGCAGCCTGCAGGTCCGAGCAAATCGAACAGAGTTGCCAAGTGCGGGACACACTCGCGCGTTCCAGCGTTGTGGGCTGCGACATACAGGGTTATTCACTTCTTATGCGTCTCGGCTGAGAGCTAAAACCGTAACCTCGGCTCTTATTGTCGGAGCTTTGCCGCCGTTGTGTTGTGCCCGGTACCTGCCCTGTTACGCTAGCAGTGTGACTGATCCTTGTCTCATGAAGCTGATCTGTAGGTACAGGTCAATGACCATTTTATTTGTATGATTTATTGTAGAACAAAGAATAGTTGAAAGTGTTACATAGGTATTTTGAACTTTCCCAATGAGCGACGGGCTATGTGTAAATCCTCATATGGCTTCGTATTTGTAATATGAATTGAATTCTGAAGAGCCTCCTAAGATAAGCGCTTACTTTCGTCTCATAAGTAGGTACTTTCGTCTCATAAGTACCTACGCATATTATTTTCGTGTACCAGGGATAACTGAAATACTCGTGTCCATTCGGCCAAACCATTAAACGTTCACTTTCAGTATCGGTCAGCTGCGGCTGAAAACTATAGAAACCGTGTGAGAGGCAACGCCTATCCCTGTAGGTCCCGACATTCGTGCCAAGCGGCACTTCAGTACGCACAAGAACCTGCACATTGCGCAGTAAAGGGACCATGCCGCTCGTATTCCCCGCTTTTTGCTGCTAAGGCGCTGTGCAGCGGTGTGAAGTGCGCTTTACGCAGCCCGTGGTGAGCCCGCCGTGGAGTAGTTGTCGGATGTCCAGTTGTCCGCTTCTCTCTGTTGTCTCAATGTGCTGATGTGTCGCAAAGTGGCGTCGAAACGTACTTACTGTTACGTCTCTTTGGAGGCTCGTGTGTCGTTAAGTGTTAGTTATATGGAGGAAAGGATTCAAAGAGCTATCAGGAGGAGCAGATGCGCCGTCTCACACCAGCGCGTGGTGGGATTACGGCCACGGAGACGGGCGGACACGTGCTGTGTGAGGTGTCCGCGGCCATCGTGTGGGGCCGCTGTTGTTTCGGCTGCGTGTGTCCTCTGTGTCCTGTGATGAGTCGACGCGTTGCTGTTCGATGTATGCTTTGCGAAAATACAGGCAGCTCTTTGTATCCGGTTTGGCGAGAATGCGGTTAGTGGCACCGAATATATGAAGGCAGCTTGGGACTTTGAGCGGCGCCAAAGAAACACATTTATTTTCTTCCATTCGTTTAACCCGCGCCCTGCTGGGGGGGGTGTTTGAACACCCCCCTTGTGGTTTTTCGCAAATATCTCAAAAACGGCGGCGCGGAGCACCGCCGTTTTTGGTACACCTTATCATACATCAATTCTACACATGTTGTGAAAATTTCAGACCAAGGTCATTCAAGGTCAGGTCACCAGGTCACTTGAAGTGACCTCACCTCATAAAAGTTTCAATGTCTGTCATAGCTACACCAAGTGACCGATCGCTTTGAAACTTTCAGCGATTGCTAAGAGCAATAGCATGTACAAAATGTAGATCTCAGAATTTTGATATCGATGACCTAAGGTCAGGTCAATTTTGCGACCTCCCCATTATAAGTCAATGGGAGAAAACTGAAATGCGCCTCTTTTGGACGAAATACATTATAAACACTCCCAAACACTGAATTACAAGTGGTTTAGACACACTGAACATGAAAATGGTGTCCGTGACCCCTGTTTATGCCCTGAGGTCATCTTAGGTCACGAATGGTATCTAACAGTTTTTCGCAAATAACTTTTGATAGAGGCATGCTAGAGCGATGAAAACGCCTTAGATGTGTTCAGCTCGACGATACGGATCGACTGATATGCAACATGACCCTTTCCGGTCAGGTCATGACCTTGACCTGAGGTCAAATTTTCAAGTTGACCTTTCAAGGTCAAGTTATAGTTCATTCGATGCGTCTTGACAAGAGGAACACGATGCCGGTAAAAGTAAGCTCGTAAAAGGCTTGAGTCAAAAGTTATTGCAGAAAAACTGTTTCCGAAAAAAATCGGCTATTTTTGCAGTTTTTGCTTCCTGCAGGCAAAACCGTTGACGTTAGGTCAAATCTGAGAGAATTACTTAGAAAGGGCGTTAATAGGGCTATCGAATGCGCTTTTCCGCGGCGCTGTAGCTCTATTGGTTCCCGAGTTATGCGTTGGCTTCTTGGAAATTTTCGACATTCGACCTGGAAATCGGCGAAATTTTGCCTTCAATGACCTCTGGTGACCTGACCTTTGACCTGACCAAAAAATTGACCGAAGTGATTTCCTCATTATTTTTGACGCTCTTTCGAACGCCGCCTTCCGCGTATCGCTACGTGGCCCAGGAGCCGAGTTAGAAGGGGGGTGTTCAAACACCCCCCCAGCAGGGCGTGCAAATCCAGGACCCCCAGCCGGGCGCGGGTTAAAATGAAAAGGTCGCAATCACTGGCGCTATTTAACGAAATTTATTAGTAAGACTCTAACGGTTTATTTCATTCGTCTTCCATAAGATGAAAAGCCATAGACGGTAAAATTTTGATGTAATCGGCAGGGCTCGGTTGGGCCTTACCAGGTCTAAAGAAAACTTATCCTATAGTCCCCAGTTAACCCGCGCCCCACTGGGGGGGCTATTTATAGCCCCCCTCCCGTTTTTCTGCAATAACTTCCAAACCGCTTGACGGATCGACGCCAAACTTTCAGTACCTTCGGCTGCATCAATTTGACACCTTGTGTCAAAATTTGAACTTCGTAGCTACTATAGGTCGGCTGGAAATGACGTCAGAGTGACGTCATGTTCGTCCGATTTCGACGCAAAACATTGAACCACGGCAATCGCTCCCAAGAGCTCAGTTTTTAAGCTAGATCCAATTTCTTTGCATGAAAGGACTTAGAATTGACCGCGCTATCAAACTGCTATCTCGAATTTTCAAAATTTTGAAAATTACGAAAATTTTATATAATAATATTCAAAATTTATATCTTTATATTTTTTTCAAAACGTTTTTGACTTTTCGAAAAAACCGGAATATATGTGACAGAACGCATGATTATGACTAACTCTAGCCAGTTTTAGCTAAATATCTTCAAAAATGGCCAAGTTATACGCATTATTGCAAAAAATACAATTATTAATTTTTCAAATCAATTTTTCAGTACGCATTTGACATCGTACACCAATATAAATGGCACCATCGTGTTCCTGAGCTCAAACTGCATCCAATAGACACCTTTTTTGTTGAAAAATTTTAACTTCAAAATTTGACCTTTTTTGTATGTATGTATGTATGTATGTATGTATTTAGGTGCTTCCACATGGTGGGTTTTCGAGCATTCACGTCAGTTAACATAAATACAGGTTTAAAATGCGTATGACAAGAGCAGGGCAAGATTTAAAACGCACATAAAAGACACGGCACATAAACGACAGGTACTACTTCGGTGGGCCTCATCTAGCCAACAGGTATGACCTCAAAGCGGCTTTGAAAGCGCCGCTGCTACCTGCGGCCGACGCTCGTAAGTCCGTGGGCAAATCGTTCCAGGCTCTACACGCACGAGGCCAGAAACAGCGGCGGCCAAACTCAGTGCGGACACGCGGCAGTTCCAGCAGTGTTTCCATGCTCGAGCGGGTGATGCGGCAGGATACGTCAGAGCGACGAACAACTCGTTCGCGCAGAGGCTCCGGTGCTCGATCGTCCATGAGGAGTGCTCGTACTAACAAGACATCATGTTCATAGATAAGGTCGTCAACTTTCAGCCATTTAAGCTCGTGTAACACCGGTGACACTCGCTCGCGGTAGCCAACGTTACTGACAATGCGCGCGGCAAAATTCAAAGCCTTCTGCACACGACGCCTCTGGGTAGCAGTGCAGCTTCCCCACACAGACAGACAGTACCGTACATGAGGGAATACAAAGGCTTCGATCAGCAGTCGCTTGGTTTCAGCGGGGAGACGGTACCTCATTCTGGCGAATCCGATCAAAAAGCTGTAGCAGCGGCGCACAATGGCTGAAATGTGTGGCTCCCACGACAGACATGAGTCCACCGCGACGCCCAGGATCTTGGCGCTGTGTGACGGTCTTATAAAGCTGCCATCGAAGTTGACCGAGAACTGCGCGTTGGTGGCGAGCCGCCGCGACTTAATGAGAACTAGCTCTGTTTTAATGGGGTTGATTTTGAGGCTGTTTTGAGAAAACCAATCTACAGCAATGGCCAAGTTTTGTTCAATGCGAGTCTGAAGATCTGAAGTGTTTTGAGGCAGGTCAGCGTCAAGAAACTGGGCATCGTCAGCGTACATTATCAGTTTCCCGTGAGGAATACTTTGAGCCAAGTCGTTGGTAAACACCAAAAAAAGTACAGGGCCCAGAATTGAACCTTGGACCACGCCGTGCGTCACATTCAGAGTACTAGTCCCGCCACGCAGCGACTGTGTGCGACCCCGCAACCATGCGCCAAACCACTTATCGTCTATGCCATACCACCCTAGTTTATCTAACAGTCGGTCGTGCTCAACACTATCGAATGCCTTCGATGTGTCAGCGGTGACAAGCGACGTAACCAAGCCACGATCCATGTTATCAGACACGTACATGACGGCATCTAGCATAGCCGACTCAGTGCATTGGCCGGGACGGAAACCGAACTGCTGAGGACACAAGATATTGTGTGATAACAAATAGTCCATCAGCTGGTCACACACCACACGTTCGCATAGCTTGGCTACAGTAGGGAGAATAGATATTGGTCTGTAATTACATGGATCACTGGGGTCACCCTTCTTCAACAAAGGGATCACTGTTGCCGACTTCCATTGGGGCGGTACTTCACACGTTACGATGGAACTGTTTATAACGCGGAGTAAGTGGGGACCAACAACGGGAAACGTAGCTCTGAGGAGGCTAACCGTGATCCCATCTGCTCCACTAGCGCCCGAAGAGCTCATCCGCTGCAGCGCCGCCGACAGCTCTGGCAGCGTGGCCGGGCGCAGTGACAGCGCGCCGCTGCACACGCGCGGCGGCCTGAAAGTGACCTGACCTAAGCTAAATTCGACTCAAAATGACCTCGAATGACACACACGACATCAAATTCGAAATCTATGGCCTAAATGGACCATAAACATGTGTCACGTGACCGACGCATGATATAATATTTTCGCGACCTGTGATGACCTGACCCTGACCTGAAAATCAAGGTACAAGTTTGGTACCCTCAAGGTATCTAGAGCATCTGTTCACGAGTGTGGAAACCAAAAATGAGCCTGATCTGACTTGTAAGACGGCGGCCAGAGCCCAAAATGTGAACAAGCCAAAGTGCTAATAATTTTTACTTTGACCTGACCTGTGACGTCATCGGTGACCTTGAGGTCAATGAAATTAGGTTTCGCTCGACAGTTTTTCCGGGGCTATCAGACGCCGTTTGAATTTTGACGATCGGCCCAGTAGTTTCGGAGTTAGGAGGGGGGCTATGAATAGCCCCCCCCCCCCCAGTAGGGCGTGTTATACACAGACCCCAGTGGGGCGCGGGTTAATTCCCGATAAGCCACTGACTGGCATCGAAATCCGAGATACATAGCTACATAAATCATGTAGACTTCATTAATCTCTAAACTAAACGCATTGTTTCACAATTTAACACGCGCACCGACGGGGGGGGCGGATATCCGCCCCCCTGAGGTTTTTCGCAAATAGCGGAAAAACCGCGGCGCGTAGCGCCGTGAAATTTGGTACGACTATTTTCTTATCAATTTTACACATGTTGTGCAAGTTTGAACCTCCTAAGTTTAAGGTCAGGTCACCAGGTCACTTTGAATGACCCAACCTCAAGTTACTTTTTTGCAACTTTGTCACCGTGCCAGAGCTACAGTAGATGTCGGAAGCCTTTGAAAATCGCAGGATGTTATAAGGTCAATAGTAGCTACAAGTTGTTTGTCCCGGAATTTTGATATCAATGACCTAAGGTCAGGTCAATTTCTCGACCTCCCCATTATAAGTCAATGGGGGAAAAATCAACTCCCTGTTTTTACCACTAAAACGGGTCGGAATGGCCCCATAAACCATACATGACCTCATATACGATCAACCTTCACTAACTTGAGGTCTGTTTTGCTGTTGGGCAGCTGTAAGGTCATGTGACGTCATCAAAG